CCGGGCTGATGTCCTGCAGGTTCGATGGGTGAGAGGAATGCGGACATTTTGTCGGCATGAACTCATCACCAGAGTCCTTATGGTCCACCACTGATAGAGGGCAGACGGACTCATCTGGCATCTGAAGAAAAATGTCATACTCACCTGAATGCTGCTGAGGAGTGGGAATCCAGGCACCGCCCTCTGATGAGCGAACCTTAAGTGAGCTGTAATAGTTATAAGCCATATTTTTAGGTTATTCAGCAAAGTGAAGGAGAAGATTCTGATGTAAATGTCGAGTGCACCGCATTTTATACTGCCTCTCGAGCGCGTCAGTATTTGCATGCGATTTGCATACTTCGCGACAATTGGCCAGTCATTTGGACTGGCGTGAGCCAATAAGACTTCAGGAAAGGTTGGAAGGGAAGGAGTTCCCCATAACGGAGAAATGTCTCCGTGATGTCTCGTGAAAGCTCGAGAGGGAACGCCCCCACACCACAAGAGAAAGCTGCAGCCGCGCGGCGACCCTACCGCCCACCGCACCCGCGCAAAGGCTCTTCACACGGGAAGCGACAAGCGTTAAAAGCCCAAATGACGCCACTTCAGCTTTGTACACCGAAACGGGAACTGAAACAATTCTTTCATCCTCCATTACTAGCAGCGAACTATATTAACGGTAACATTAGTGGCGTGCCCTAATGCTAGTATTTCCTGTCACTGTTTAAGTTCAGAGATGAAGACTGCCATCTAGCGGTCGGGATATAAACTCAAAACGAAACAACTGCCATGTTTTTTTTTTTTTAATATCGATATTCCGTTTTTGAGAATCGATACAGTATCGCCAAACAAAATATCGCGATACTCACGTGTATCGATATTTTCTTACACCCCTAATAAAAAGCTGGAAAATGGTTTCTTATTTTTGTACAGTTTTTGATTCTAGAAAAATCACAAATGAGATCCTAAGAAGACACAGTAATGTGTCTCATTTAGAGTTTGAAAAGGATCTCTACAATGAGTTGAATTAAGCTCAGATTTGCTAAGGTTTGACATATCAATATGAACTAAAACAAATGCCATTAATCTCTCCCAAAATTTTTATATTTGAGCTTGTTATCCAGATTAAGCATCATAGTGTTACTTTGTCAACAACTGACTCATTTGTGCCTCTTTATATGATTTCTTCTAGATGATTTTAATGGAAATATGTGAGATAAAATTTATATTTAAATGACACAGCGGAGAACTTCCATTAAATTTCAATTACGTTTTTCAATTAAGGTTTTTTTATTATTTACAGCATATTTTTTTAAATACGGTGTGGACCAACATGTTTCAATAAAAATAAATGGTCACATGAAATTTCTGTTAATCTTATATACTATATAGCTGTCAGCTTTAAGTTGTTAAAAAATAAGATTTCAAATGTCAACATGGGCTTTAGTTTCTTGCATTTTTACTGTTTCTTACAAGGCTTCAGTGATGTTTGACCATTTTATGTCAGTACACTCCTATAAGTCGGCCTTGGCATAGAGCACTGGTAATGTTTGGCTCAGTAGGTCAGAGCAGGTGGTTTGTGCTCTGTGTGTCAGTGATCCGCTCTCTCTCCTGCAGAACACTAGACAAGACCTGCCAGGGGATCTGCAGCTACGCCAAGCCCAGCAAGGCTTCACTTAGCTGGGTAACATCTGCTGAGGCCTCCCCTGCCTCCTGGACTTCATCATGGTAAGAGTCAAAAACCAATGCTGAGCTGTGCTGAGATTTAGAAGAGATGAGTATTGTATTAAGAGTTTTAAAAGTGTACTTTAATTTATTTTTCATAATTATTGACTTAACATTAGTTTTTAATTGTATTTAATTTTATTAATAAAAAAAACTTTGCTGAGAGTAGAAGCTTGCATATATAACTGACACATTAATGCCGTTAGAGATTTCCAAGCTAAAAATAACTCTTTTTGTGTATTTTGTCACATTAACCAGATTTATTTCACACATTAAAATAGCGGGCGTGAATGTAAAAAGCTGTTAATAAAAAGGTATACCAGAACCAGAAGATTTCAGCTTTTGGCAAATTATATATATATATATATATATATATATATATATCATACAGTGGTGTGAAAAAGTTTTTGCCCACTTCCTGTTTTTATTTTTTGCATGTCTTACTTGAATGTTTCAGATCAAACAAATTTTATTACACAAAGATAACCCCAGTAAATACAAAATGCAGTTTTGAAATAATGATCCACTCCAAAACCTTAATTTTGTTTTTCTTGAGCCATTCAGAGATGAACTTGCTGGTGTGTTTCGGATCATTGCCCTGCTGCACAACCCAAGTGCGCTTGAGCTTGAGGTCATAAACTGACGGCCGGACATTCTCCTTCAGGATTTGCTGATAGAGTGCAGAATTCATTGTTCCATCAATTATGGCAAGTCATCCAGTTCCTGAAGCTGCAAAGCAGCCCCAGACCATCACACTACCACCACCATGTTTGACTGTTGGTATGATGTTCTTTTTATGAAATCCTGTGTTGGTTTTACACCAGATATAACGGGACACACACCTTCCAAAAACTTTTGTCGCATCAGACCACAGAATATTTGCCCAAAAGTCTTGGAGATAATCAAGATATTTTTTGGCAAATGTGAGACGAGCTTTTGTGTTCTTTTTGGTCAGCAGTGGCTTTTACCTTGGAACTCTCCCATGGGTGCCGTTTTTGCACAGTCTCTTTCTTATTGTTGAGTCATGAACACTGACCTTAATTGAGGCAAGTGAGGCCTGCAGTTCGTTAGATGTTGTTCTGGGTTCTTTTATGACCTCCTGGAGGAGTCGTCGTTGTGCTCTTGCAATAATTTTGGTAGGCCGGCCACTCCTGTCTTGAATTTCTTTAGATCGTGGCATGATGTGTTGCTCTTTAAGCTGGCTTCACTTTGTCAGACAGGTTCTATTTAAATGATTTCTTGATTCAACAGGTCTGGCAGTAATCAGGCCTGGGTGTGGCTAGTGAAATTTAACTCAGCTTTCTAAAATAATGTGGTTAATCACAGTTCTTTCATGATTTAACGGGAGGGGGCAATTAATTTTTCAAGTAGGGCCAGGTAGGTTTGAACAGCTTTTTTTCCCTTAATAAATTAAATCATCATTTAAAAACTGCATTTTGTATTTACTTGCATTATCTTTGTGTAATATTTAAATTTGTTTGATGATCTGAAACATTAAAGTGT